AAATTGAAATATCTCACAAACTGTAAGTCCTAGGTATGCAGAACCTTTAATAAAGTTCACCTATTTTTTTACGGTGCTTTCAAAAATGCAGTAAAATACAGGGTGTTCCATTTAAAAAAACATAACTTTGATATGGTACGCTTTTCCTGGACACCCTGTATATTTCAAAATATTTTTAAAATATAGCCGTAATCAACCTACACATACCCACATAAACAGGTTTCTGTAACATTTGCCGTTTGGTCACTAGCGACCGAGGCGTTACTGGTGGCCCACCCTGTATATTCCTACGACGCGGGGTGGTTTCCTTGCTTGCTCTTTAGGGAACTGAGGTGGTATCTGTGGTGGGTAGTCCTCCTAATATCAAAAAGTGTCTTGTCTCACAATAGCTGTCAACTAAGCGAGGTTATGTCTCTCTACTCCACTAACAGAATCACGGAGCGTGGTGATAGTAGAACGAGCTCAGCAGGGTGGGAAGGCAGGATGTCCAATCGTATAACTGTCAACGAAAACTCCCCCAAGATCGCGGTGTTATAACCTATGACCATGCCCGTCTGTCGTACTTCCAAAATCTTATGTTTTCCAAATAATCGTGATATTAAGACGATGAGGGACCGGCTCAAATAAGCCTAAAAAGTAGATTAATATTTCGATGTGAATATTTTTGAATTCCCAAACCATCACAGAAAATTATACAAAGAACAATTCTTACCCAACTAAGTGAGCTTCTCCTCGTGAAATAAAATCCAGCACAGCTGCTTACGGGATAAACCCTATATAAATATTATTAACAAAATCCAACTTCCACGTTGATTAACTTTCCAAAAGTTACACAGTTGTTAATAATATCTTCAAGAAGTATGGAATATGAAATTTAGACAATGTTCACGTGACTTTGATTTATTTGTTTTTACAGAGCAAATTGAATCGTTTCACTATACCCTGGTCATCTATTTGAAACTATTATATTATGATATAAACAAAGTAATATGAAAAGTTATGAATATATACACAAATAATAGTAATTGATAATTAATTTTGAAATGAATTAAGTATATTGCAATTGATAAAATAAATTAATAAGTAATTGTAGACATAATTTAATAATTTGTAAATATTTCTATATTAATATTTTTGAAAACCGTAACACATTCTTTCAACGAACTTAATTTGTATGTTGAATTGTAGTACATACAATTTATGACATACCACAAGGTTCTCTCCTTGGCCCCAGACCTTTCTAATGAATATATCAATGACTTACTCAATATTTAAGTGTTTTAAATTAAATTAAGAATGCTCCTTATAGCTCGCCTTAATTTATCCACATTTGTCCAAGATTGTAAGAGTTATGGGTTCCTAACTGTTCTTTTTTTTTTTTGTTGCAGATTGTGCTACTATGTCGCGGCTCGACCCGCGCCGGTAACCATCGTGAATGACCGCCATCTTCAGCAGCAGCGCCGCAACAGGCAGCATGGACATCAAGCACGAGATGATCTACCGTGACGATGATGTGTTGCTGGTGAAGACCGAGCCGCAGCTTCACTCGCCATGCCAGCCGGCCAGCGGCAACGGCATCACCAACCTGCTCGGCTCATCCAACCTGTGCGCCGCCCCCAACGGTCTAGTCACCACGCTGGCCGGCAGCTCGGCGCTATCCTCCGCCAACGGCCTGGTGGCCGTCGCCTCGAACAACGGACTCGGTGCCGGTGGACCTTTCAGCGGCTTCGGCGTGACGGGCGTCGCGGTCACGCCCAACAAGCGGCCGCGGACCGACGATTGGCTCAGTTCGCCCAGTTCGGGGACGATTAGTGTTAGTGCTCCGCCGCTCACCCCCTCGCCGGGGCCCCCCTCGCAGCCCTACACTGTTATAAGTAATGGATATTCGTCCCCCATGTCGTCCGGTAGCTACGACCCCTACAGTCCCAACGGAAAAATCGGTAAGTAAAAGAAAGATCAAATAAATAGTGGAGTTATAATTAGTTTCTTAAACTGCACATTAATTCTTGTTTATTTACGCCGCCACTGATCGGAGCTACCCGGAATTAGCGTAGTAAGTTGTATCAGTGCACTCAACACATCAGGTCTGCCAGTTGTTATCTTTTTAAAACTGTTAGAGAGAATGGAAAATAATTTAGTAAAACAGATTGTTTTTGTATGGTTTGGCGACGTGTTATTTTTAAGTCACCGTATTTGTTTCAGCGTCGAATATTAAAAAAGACATTCTATTATTTTAAGAAAAAATAAACAAATGTTTATATATATTTTTATATATTTATAAAACTAATTATTTTTGGCGTACATAATAAAAGAAATTATAAAAATACTAACGTTCAGTGTTGATTGAAGACATTTTCTTTTAATATTTAATTCGCGAATCTCGGTGTCACTAACACCTTACATTGACCTAAATTATCTAACTATACTACTGTCACTATGTAAAATAGATGGAGACGCATTTAGGAAAGTAAAAACCGGTTATATTAAACACTTACAAAATTCTAAATAAAATACTCCTTTTTCTTAAACAGCAAATTCAGCAACCAATCGGTGCTAGACATATTAAATTAGTCTAGAGTAAACAAAACAGGCACAAAATGAAACCGTGAGCAGTTTTTATTTAAGGAGAATACGATCCTGTTCCGACCACTTGACTTCACACCTGGTATGATACGACGGCATGGTAAAGGGGTAAAAAACATACTGTCACGTTAATTCGGCGAAACGGGAATGGTCGAATAGGTCACCACCGCTTGATTTTGTAACATTTTTATTTTACAAGTGATTAAAAATGTTTCCATTGGCATCTGGCATTCTTTAATTCTTTAAAATTACTGTAGAAAATCATGATACTATTAAAACCGAACTAAAGTATAAAAATATTGCCTCTCTTATTGTAGAAATCGTATTAAATAGTCGATTATAGAAATGCTTTACCAGAAAATCACTGATAAGTCGAAGGTAGAGTAAATTATCAAAAGAAAATCAAACGCATTGTTTTTGTCACTGGTTCATGTGCTTTCAGTTTACTATACAAAATAGAAGAAAAAGTATAGGGAACTTTTTTTGGAGCGGCCAAAAAAATTTCTGGAATTCTGACTTTAATGGCCTATTGGGCTCCGATGATATGTGGTATACCACATAAGTTTTAGAAAAAAATCATGGATCATAGTTCCACTATGTCAATATAGTATATGTATACGAGTATACACGTAAAATTTCCCCCCTTCTATCTAGATAAAAATGGTAAAGAAGGGAATTTTCTTAAGATCTCAAAGAAATATATGAAAAAACAATTTAATCCTCTCTTTTTTATAATTATAGTAATATATACATGTCATACAATTCCCAGAACCCTCACAGTGGATAAAATCAAGATTGCCATGGAACCATTACGTATTTATACTTTCCCACTATTAAATTTACTAAACAGATTTTTAAACATTTCATTAAGAAAAACATACTGTAACATAAAATGCGTTTTTTAATAATACCATTGTATTCTAGACAAAGGACACGTTTTTTTAATGTTTTTCTTGTGACGAGAAAAGTATACGATCCACAAGGAGTTGTGATTCGACCTTCATTTAGCTCTTTCCATGGGAATTTACGAAAGATGAAGTAAACAAAGTACAATATAATAATTTGTATGATATTGTCTTGTAAGTTCAACAGTGAAAAATGTACGCGGGTATTGGTTCCATGGCAATCGTGACCATCAATAAATAAACCAAAATATTGTGAAAACAAAAAACAGAATAATTAAAAAACCACAAATATAATTCATTTACGAAAAAAAATCTTGAGATAGAAGAAAATTTTCTAAAATTTCCAACTATATAAAGAAAAAAAGATAAGGGCGTATATAATGTGCCACTTCATTCTACGAAGGGGGTTATAATTTTTTTTTGTAACTTATGGTTCTAATTTTTTTCCTTAATTTAGTTACTGCAAGAATATTCTTTATTCTGTTCTTCATTTTGTTCTTTATGAAAATGATTTTACCGCTTCATATCACATTTGTTCCTCAAACTTGAATTATTCTCGGTAAAATAAAAGAGACATACAGCGTAGTAAAAAAGTTCTGCATAAAATTCATATTTTTGTTAAACAATTTTTTTTCGAAAAACGGTGAGACCCGTCGATTTTTATTTGATCTAAGGCACCTTGTTATGTGGAAAAATTTTTTTTTTCGATAATCGACTTACGGCAGCGATGATATGATTTTTTTTTTTTAATGATAACGCATATTTTTTTCGTTCGAAATTGATGACAGTGATAATTATCTAAACAACGGTGGGAAAATTTCGATGTCTTACATAACCATTTTTTTTAGAAAAATGCACCTTAAGTTCTTGAATGCAATAATTTGCTGTTTACGGATCAAATGCATTAGAAAAAAATTTATCCGGCAGAAAGCATTTCAGATAACTTAAGTTGCAACTGGTGTTATGTAATATTTGCGGAATTACTCATCAGATATTGTCAGGATCCTGATTAAACTGCAAAATTTAGAACCAAGTTCAACCGCACAAAATCCAAATAGTATGTAGCAAATTAAGGTCGACTTTTTGTCTTCGAGTTTGCCGATAAATTCCCCAAAAAAAAAAGATCCAAAGAAATGTTTACTTGAAAGGAGTAGATTACCTGAAATATTGAAGACTAAAAATCAGTACCGATTTAACATTCTTTGGTGAAATCGTTTAATTCGAAATGGCAAAACTTAGTGAACGCGAAAGAATTGATATTTTGAGGATGATTGGTTTCGGCGATAAGTTACGAACCCATCAAGAAGCTTGCCAATTATTTAATGCAACGTACCCTGACAGACCACCAATTACGCAATCTACGGTTAGTAGGGTACTGGCAAGGTTTGAGGAAACTGGTAGTGTGAAAGATGCTCCTCGTGCGGGTCGTCCTAGAGTAGATGATGAAACTAGATTGAATATCCTGGTGGAGCTCCAGGACAACCCTCATTCTAGTACAAGGTCGATTGCATTGAACAATGATATTTCACATGTAACTGTGGTGAACTTTCTCAAAAAAGAGAAATTTCACCCCTATAAGGGTCACTTGATACATGCATTGACTGAGGACGACCCAGACCGCCGTCTCCACTTTTGTGAAGATTTAATGCATCGATGTAACGGAGACCCCGACTTCCTCAAGAACATAATTTTTTCTGACGAGGCTACTTTTTATCTTAATGGATCGGTGCATCGACATAACTGCCGGTATTGGTCTCAGGAAAACCCGCACTGGGTGCAAGAAGTAGATCATCAGCACCCCCGAAAGGTGAACGTTTGGGCGGGAATAATAGGGCGTCGTATTTTAGGCCCGTATTTTTTCGAGGAAAATTTAACTGCTGCTCGCTATTTGGATTTCCTGCGGTTCGATTTGGTCCCAAGCTTAGCAGAGTTATTCCCGAACAACGAGGATCCTGATATTCCTGAGGAAAGAATTTGGTTTCAGCAGGATGGTGCACCGCCCCATTATGGAGTGCAAGTACGGGAGTACTTGAATAACACGTTTACTGGCCGGTGGATCGGGCGACGCGGAACAATCGAGTGGCCTCCGCGTTCGCCTGATTTAACACCTCTAGACTTTTTTTTGTGGGGCTATTTGAAATCGCGTGTGTACACAAACAGGCCAGGTGATTTGGAAGAACTTAAAAACCGTATTCGTTTTGAAATAAATCAAATCGACCCAGGAATGCTTGAACGAAGTGTAGACGACGTTTACACACGCTTAGGACAATGCCAAATGGTACAGGGTGGGCAATTCGAACAATTTCGCTAGACTTACACAAACATTAGTGTAATTTTACTCGTTTGAAATGTAATTTTGTCAACTTTGTCCTTTCAGAGCCATTAATAGTGTAAGTAGACAATTATCACTTATAAGAACTTAAGGTGCATTTTTCTAAAAAAAAATTGTTATGTAAGACATAGAAATTTTCACATCGTTATTTAGATAATTATCACTGTCATCAATTTCGAACGAAAAAAATATGCGGTCATTTAAAAAAAAAATTATGTCATCGCTGCCGTAAGTGATTATCGAAAAAAAAAATTTTCGCATAACAAGGTGCCCTGGATCAAATAAAAATCGACGGGTCTCACCGTTTTTCGAAAAAAAAAATTGTTTAACGAAAATATGAATTTTATGCAGAACTTTTTTACCACGCTGTATAGTAGGTTAAATTCAATGTTTATTATTTAAAGTACATATTTTATAGTCATCCAGATCTGTACTAAAAATATACTCTATCGTGCGACCTAACTTACAACGCTACCGAAATGGGGCAAAGATATGTTGTAACCGATAGAATTCTCAACCTCCCGGACTATCCGTAATGAAGACGCCGACGTTTATCTCTGTCACATTTTCCAGTCGCATGGATCCGACTCCTGACATCCTGTCCTGAGAAAGCTGGCAACGGGCCCGGCTTGATTTACCGCCGTCGGTTATTACGGTCTCTAATAAAAATTTCAGCTAATTCCCGATCTGTGTGGGAAAATTAAAATTTATAATTCGCCACGGTGCGACTTCCCGCCATCAGAATAGCCCCTTAGTTACGCAGGTCGTCGCATTTTTCGTTTTTGCTGCAGTGTGGCGTCGTGCTCTTTTAACTTTTGTTGCCCGGGATGCCCTCAAAATGAAGGTACGGACTGGTACGAAGCTTGTTCGGTGTCAAAAGAATGTCAGCTTTACCATAAATAACAGATAAAAAAAGTGCTGCAGATGTTTTTATACGGATTCGCCAGAAAACTGGAAAGTCATTGAAATTTAGGAATTACTAAATTTATTTAACAGTCGAGGAATTTGTTTCATAAATATCAGGGAAAGAAAAATTGAAAACGTTTTTTTGGGAGCAATTAGTAATTTTATAAAATTAAATGTAGTTATTTCTCATGAACTCCAAATATATGAAAAAATA